TGTGCCCCGCTCTCTCTGTCCTCAACTCACTCCAGTGAAAGGATGATCTGAGTGTCTGATGCTTTGCCATAAGAGCGGATGAGAGTGTGTGCAGAATTTGAATGGAGTGTGGTTTTGTGCGTTGCTAAGAGGACTCTGCAGAGCTGTGAGGAATCTGCCATTTGGAGGCTGCCAGGCTCGGTCTGCGTCACTTTCTGCAACCTGACTTTTTGTTCCACTTAATGTGACACTAATCTGATCATTTCAGCGTCATTTTGTAACCACCAGGACATAATTTAATCTATTTTAGTTTCCTGAGTTCTTCCTCTGTGGTCGGTTGACTTTTAGTTCCTGTGCCTTTCACAGTTTTTGTGTATTTTTAAAGGGATTCTTCCAATTTTCCAACTAATTTTCAATGTCAACTGCGACCAAACTCCTCTAGGTTGGTCCTAAAATTGGCCTGCCGTGTTCTTTAGACCTGAGATGATTAGTCTAGATTGACAAAAAATAACTGGAAAATTTGATAAATTATTGAAGTTATAAGATTTTTTTTTTTTTGCAAAAATGACCCAAAAATCACTGTTTCCAGATTCTCAAATGTGAATGTTTGCTGGTTCTCTTGTTGGTTGGATGAAACAAGCAAACTGAACGGGTCAACTTGGCCTTTGAGATGAGGATTTTTCCAAAAGGTCTATCTGTCTGTGCATAATACTACAGGACACAGCCACTACATGATTTCCCCTTAAAACAGTCGCAGTTTGGTTAGATTTAGGCAACAAAACGACTTGGGTTTAGGAAAAGATCATGGTTTGGGTTATCAAGTTATCTCGTGTGTGTACAAGACAACAGATGGACCATTCTTGATTTTTCACTATTTTTTTAACATTTAGTAGACTAAACTTTCAATTCAATTCAAAATTCAATTCAAATCAACTTTATTGCATCATACTTACTACAAATAGAGTAACTGATAAATAGAAGACCCTTGCAATAAAAATGATTAACCGACATGATAATTGGCAGATTAATCAACAGTGAATAAGTCATAAATTGCAGCCCTAGTGTGCATAGAACCACATGATGCATAAATAAAAGCAAAAAGGTGGAGGATTTAGTTAGAAAATTAAAAATGCTCAAATGTGCACTACTACAGGCCCCTAACTGCATTGCTTGCATATGTGCAGCTATTCTGCAAATCGCTCCAAGCTTTGCACTCCTCACAGCAGCATACTCGTCTTCAGCCTTTTTCATGTTCTTCATGCAGTTAAGTGCCTGTATTTGTGCACATTCCGCCTTCGACAGCGACTCTCATTTTGTTTTTTGGCCTTTTTCACTGTTTTCATGGATTCCTACGCAGAAATAAAATACTAAATAACAGTTTCTAGGGCACTCGAGGAGGCTTTAGCTGAATTCAACAGGATGTCAAGCTTGATGCATTTGAATCTTGAATCTATCAAGCATGCAATGTTTACATGTGCTATTAATAACAAAAAGCACAAAAAGCTGTTGATATGACCCACTGAAGTACACTCCCTGATTTTGTTTTAGCATCCAGCACTACTCCCATACCCAAAATTGACTTTCAAAACACCCGCATGTGGGAGGAAACATGAGGATGTGGGGCGCTGCTGCCATAGAAAAGCTACAGTGACTTTTTAAGTTAACATACAAGCATAAAAAGATCCATCACACACCTAATGTTACTCTCTCCCTTTAGCTTGTTGACTAGGCCTCTTCATGAACGGCTAGCAGGCACTGATCTGCTCGCAACACAGTATAAATGGTGGTTAATTAAGTAAATACTGAGTTTGCAGAGTGAAGTTCAGCAGTTGCATTGGTCCAACTGGTTCTAGTTCAAAACCACAGCAGCATCAGACAGAGTGCTGCCAGTTTCTCACAGCACAGGAATTATATAGCAAACAGGTTTTGTTTGACGAGAGTTCCTGTAACTCCACCCTGACACGGTTGTTTGCAGAGTTATGCCATGCACACGTAAAAAATTAAAACAGAGCTGGAAAACAAAGCTATTCAAGAAGAAACTTAAACATGAATTATTCTGTAAAGCAGGAAGATATAAAACAAGCTTAAATAACCCCCCCCTGCATTGTGCAATAATAAATGAAGGCTAAGTAATAGTGTCAGTATCTGACAGAGCGGGGTGATGACATTAGAACGTCTTGTTTTAACTACTTCCTGTGTTTAGCAGAAGGCGTGAGCTGAATGTACACAACATCCTGTATGAGGCTGTTGGCACAGACCATGTGACAAATGGGTGTGAAGCAAAACACCAACACAGACAAGGACACAGTGATCTACACTTGATGGCAATCAATATATTTACTGCAGGGAACAGAGCCTTCTTAGAGATGATATATACTGTTATTTATCAAGTTATATCAAAATGTGCATTTGAATATTCAGTACGTGGGTGTGGACACATAAGGGACACAGCAAAAGCAACATTCAGATACCAAAATGAAATGCAGCAGCCTTGTAAAAGCACTAATCTGGTTCTAAGTAAGTGGTTTTTTTTTAATTACTAATTAATCCGTCCATTATTTTTTCAATTAATTTTATTAACATAAAATTCCAAAATCCCAATCAGAGTTGCCATTAAAGGCACACTGAGGAGTTTGTGACCACTGGTGGTGCTATAGAGCAATGTTTTGATAAGTGGGTTGCCATTTTCTTTGTCTAGCACACAATGTTTGCATCGTTTAGTGCAAGTTAGACTCAACCAAAAGTCCCCCTCTGAGAAATGTTTGTTTGGCTAAAACACAGCTTTCTCTCTCCATCCACCTCCTCCTCACTACCTTGCGGTCCCAGGTCACAATCGCAGCAGGATAATCCCAGATTAGCCTCCCAGCAGGACATGGGTTCAATCCCTTTTGATGTCTAGCCAAGCCGAGCCGAGCCGGGCCGCAAACCTGCGCTGAGCCAAAGCCCACGCTGGCTGCCACCGCCTGCAGAGCTCCAAATCAAATTACAGGACAGGGCCTCCACCTCCGAACACATCTACTGTGACTATTTCTTTATGTAACGCTCACTTACAGGCAGCAGCAGTGCAAGTGGGATTACAGTGGATTTCCAAACTGAGGCCCCAGCACCCTTTGTGAACTAAACTGTGGCCAGATTGTATTTTCATGACCGTGAGTCGTGACCTCTAAAAGGGGAAAGGGGAGCTTTTGAGGGGCTTTGGTAGATTTTCTCACACTTAGCCTGCACATGCCTGCAGACAGTAGCCTGTTTAAAAAATGTAAGAGTGAGAAACTGCTCATGGCACGCACACACATCTGCCCCCAAATCAAAAACTGGTTGGACCACTTGAGAGAGAGATGGAGGGGAAGTGGTGAAACTGAGAAAGAAAGCGCAAAATGTCAGCTCAGAGGAAAGAATACCTGCTAAAAGCCTAAAATAACTACTGAATAGAAATGAGTGAATTGATGCTGTTTGTGCAAGGGTGCATACACACATGGTTGTGATATAAATGCAGAATCCAGCTCAACTGCAAAGGAAAAACCATGTGGATCACCGTATCATACTGCGGCTCAGATAAAGGAGCTATCTGAGACAGACAGAGCGGGAGACATGTTTTTATTCCTAACATTATTCACCGTCTCTGCTCTGATTTTCTTTCAAAAGGTCTGAGATTTAAACCAGCAATATTTCAGAAATTCTAACATCACAGTCCAAAATTGTTATTCAAAGTTTTATACACATGGTAATGATATCAACAGACAACCCAACAGAACTGCACAGAAACAGATGGACCAACTTGGGTTGTTTCTCACTCACATTCCCCTTCCAGATGTCTCAAATTGAGTTTAGAATCTGAACATATTTAAAGTCCCTCTCCACTAAAATATCAGTGTTTGTTCTAGTTCCTACAGTGTGCTGTTTGAATGCTGTATGTGCAGAGTTTGACACTCATCTGCTGAAAGTGAAAAGTTTCTCTCTGCTCATTGAAAATCAGATTTTAAGGGGCGGGGCCTACCAGCATGATTTGTGACATCACAAAAAGTTGATCATGGTCCAGAATGCAACCTATACAATGCGATTTAGAAACTTTCAGCTTGACTTTCTAAAAATTTTGTAATTTTTTTCATGCTTACAGCTTATATTGTTATTTGTATTTGCTGTTATTTAGATCCTGTTACTAAAGTCTGCATTACTTCAAAAAATCAAGGAAGACAACACAACAAAAGGCTCTAGTATCTTCTTTTGTCAGCAAACAGAAGCTTCATCGTGATTATTAGCTTAAAAGAATTTGAGAATGCTGATGCTGAACTAGCTCCACAGACAGCACGAACTAGCACTGACTTGGTTGTGGTATTGAGAGAAGAAGCTCAGGCTGACAGGAAGTTTTTTCGGCTCCACTCTGGTTCTCGTGGAGGGATGTAGTCCTTGGAAAGCTCTTTTGATGTCGCCAGCCTTTCAACACGAGCACTTGCTGTGGCTCTCCTCGCTGCTCTTGGAACCTGGTTTTAGAGTGTCAGACATTTAGTATTTAGTTTTAGTACTGACAGCAATTCGGAAAGAATTAGTGTTAACTAATGACTAACTATTAGCTCCAAACTCGTGTTTTAGAAGATGTTAATCATGTTGCTGCTGTTCAAGCAAAGGATCTTTTGTCATTATACATTTTTACGCCTGTCATTACGTGTTACATTTATCAAAATAAGAGCCAGACCACAGATCATATGGGACAGATGGCCAATAAAAATCTGGCAATTGCGTGCAAGCAGAGCATCCACTGAATAGTCATTTGACAATTGTTGGAAAATTCCACAATTAATTGAAAGAGCTATTCATCATGGGAAAGCTACTCTACAGTACATGACAGAGAGCTAGTTCAAACAGCTGGAAAATATTTTAATTGGCTGTGTGATGTCAAGCATACAGCCAAGGAAAACTGTTCTGGGTTTGTTAGGATGTTTATTTATCCTAAGACTCTTTATTGAGAGAGTTCAAACACACTGCACCAATAAATGACGACGCGATACATCAGTAGGTGCTTTTACCGTCCAGATTGATTCCTCCGGGCGTCCGAGCTGGCAGCAGACGTTGCTCTCCTTCAGTCTGGGCAGGGACAGCTGGACCAGTCGCTGAGAGATCTGGACCGTCTTAGAAGCAAGAGAAACAATGGATGCGACACTCTGTGGAAGACAAACAGACGGAGGAAATTCAGACTTCACGTAGTTATGATCTAGCCAGGTAACTTGGTCTTCAACCAACAGCTGAAGAAAAGCTGGCTGAGGAAGGTCTAGATTACTTATCATTAGTTCTGCTGCCCAACACAGTTTTCAGAAAACTACCATGACAACAATCCCATTTCCAACCAGAAGAACCATATTACATTCTAACAGTGAAAGTGATCAAATCTCTACTGCAGTACATACAATTTTATATCATATTAATAGCTACTGTTAAATTGTGTACATTATATAATTTAAATACTTTGATAATCAATGTCTGAACTTCATTACATTAATGTAAAAATCACATTAATCCAATATTGCAAAAACACAGTCCTAATTTGATTTGCAGAATTACTTCCAATGGTCTAATACATCAGATATATATTAAAGGAATAAGTCCTTTGGTATTACAAAAACTCTGATGTCAGTCAGAGTTGGGGATGCGGGATGAGAGAAAGTCTATATGATGATGTCATAGTAAATGTTAAATGCATGGCATTCATGGTTTGAATGACCAGGATCATTTATAGCCTATTTAATAGTTATTATTTTAACAAACTTTTTAGTGGATAAAAAAAAACACAGTAAAAAAAATAATAACTAACTTTTATGAACTAATATTTTTTATTATTTTTAGTGGGTGCTGCAGTTCAATGTCAGCAGACATTAGTGCTGCCTGTTGCTGTTCTCTGTGTACAAGTGCTTTAAGATCTTACCTCTCTGTTGCTCTGGAAGTCTGGATGGTTCACTTTGGGGTCTGAGAGCTGCAGCAGTCGCAGCGTGATGACAGCAGATTTCATTTTGGGATCAACGTGCCAAATAGGACAGTTATTCTCACAGTGAGGTGTGTGAGGAGGCCTGTGGGACCAGCAGAAAGACCTTATTAGTAGACATATCGCTAGGATTAAACATCTGATTAAACATCTGAAGTCAAATGGTTTCTTATTAAGCTGAATTTGTTTTACAAAATGACTTAGTCTAATGTCCTTTCTCAAAATATTTAAACTTTATCCTCAAAAGGTTTTTCTCTACCAATATTACTTTGTTGTACATCTACAGGAACTGCTTCTACAAAGTGATGGAAGTACATTTATATTCTGAACAAAAGGCCCACTAACTTATCTTGGAGTTTTTCAACTGTATCACACAGAGGGCCAGAATAAGAAGGTCCCTGAATACAGTCAAAAGCTGAGAGAATAGGTAAGTGAGTGGACCTTATATTTAGAATATTTAAAACCTGACCCTGTGACATAATAGTTCAGATGAATACCATGAAACTGCAACGTTCCTGGTGTGACCCGTCTATCTCTCACTATCTAATAAAGGCAAAAGGCCTAAAACAAGATGACACCAAACTAAATTCCTTTTCAAAATGTTTTTCTTATTCAAAATATCTCAAATATCCGTTGAACCTCTGTGTAACAGCTGTTGACCAAGGATGTGCCTCATCTGTTTTATGTTATGAGTATAACAATATTCACTGGTACTTCAGTGTTTGAGTTTATTATCTGACTAACCATATATTGTTCCCTACAACACGTGACTAATTTGTGAGGACCGGTCTTATAAATACTTAAAATATATTAGCCTCCTCTACAATAGTAACAGTATTTTGTCAAGTTTATTCCCAGAGGGCACATGTGTCTAACTTTAGAGGGAATATTTGATTGGTATCTGCCCGTGTTGCTCTTGCGGTGGTTTTGTCTGGTTTATTTATTTATTTAGCTTCTTTGTTGTTGTTTTTCTGGAGCAACAAGATGAGAGGATTACCTTTCGACTGCTGGTGATTATTATTTGTTGTGCCAGGCATTAAAACAGCAATCAATGTGATGTCTACTGTTTAAATCCCAAAGGCAAATATTCATACGGTGTACTGGATTCAGTAAACCCTGTTTAAATCTCTCTCCATGCCCAACAACATGTTCTGCTGCTGTGTTCACGATTTATAAAAAGACTTCCGTGGCTGTCTGCGAGCGTCCCAGGGGTCCTGAACTTTGGACAATAAGCTCTATTGTCTCCGCTCCTCGCTCTCCCACAGTCTGACACTGAAATAACAGATGTCCAAACGTTGGCTTCCTCACGCAGCGTGGAGACGTTAGTGTTGGACCGCAGCCTCTGCTTGGCTCTCTCATATTTAACTATATGATATGTTATATTCTGCTGCGATTAAATTCCAGACTTTGGTTTGTACGTGGACCCCCCTGAGGGAGAATAACTCATGAATCTGCCAAAAAAACGGTGACATAGGAGGTCCATGAGAATGCTGGATGTGGACATAATCTCTGAAACAGATACCTCAAAAGGTTGATCACGGTGCCGGTACATACTGTACACATTTCTTAATATTAATGAATATGCTTGCACATGGTTGCCGTCAGTGGAGAAATAATATTATTATTTTGATAACAATCCAATCCAAAACCTTTAAACTCATTCAACCATTACTGAATAACACTGTCCTCTACTTATTATGCTATGTTTAGGACAGCAACTGCCATACAATACAATACAATACAATACAAGCGGTCGCTGGAGGTCCCTATTGTATTTGCTATGTTTCTTCTTCATTACCTATATTTTTTAGCGCCTTCGACTGCGTTTTTTGCCCCCCTGGAACATATACGAAAACTCAATTTTATTGCAAAGTGGTCAGGCCCTGGTGAAAAAATGTTATATTCTATAGTCGTAGCTCTTGGATCGGCCACTAGGGTGCGCTACTATTCATGAAAAGTGGTTCTAGGCTAATAACTCCTGCATCGATTGTCGGCACATTCAAAAACCTATATCCACGCGTTCAGTGAATGGGTGCATCCTCTCCATATAACCACGCCCACTTTTCTGCCTATGAATTTTTTTCTGCTATAGACGCGAAATGTCGCTTAAAATCTACTTTTTATGTTCGCCTCCTACACGCTTTGGTCGCAATTCGCACAAAATTTTTGGCTTGGCAAAAAAAAAAATTTTGAATAAGTTGTGATATTGTCAAAAAATAAGCACGCTATAATTAGCACCATTGTTAATTTTTCGTCCTAAACAGAAAGTGGGATTTCTCCCACATTGCGTATGTCTGATTGACACCAAAGCTTGGTCCATTATTTCCGTGTCTTCCTTAGGCACGCTGCACAATTTCAGGCAATCGCCACAAAGAGGTGGCGCTTCTGAAAGAGTTTTGTATATCTCCGCATTGGCAAGTGTGATTGAATATGAAACTCTGTACAATGATGTGCCCGTGGCTCCCTGAGGCTCCGCTAAAAATGTGTCTAAACAATCCACCACTAGATGGGCGCTGTGGTGGGCATGGTAAATCACTGTGCGGAGACCATAAAGTTATGATAATGAATTCCGCAGGGCAGCTTGTAGACTGGTCCTGTAGCTCACATAGCAAAAATCGTGTTGTGTAGCGCCCCTAAGCAGTATTTCAAAACAGGGCAGCTCCGGCACTAACGTTTCACCCAATATGTCTGAAACTCGGTAGGCACGATGTAAGGTGCCGAAACACATACTGAAAAGCCTCTTGGACCGCATACCCAAAACCCACTGGAAGTTGGCCATTTTGCATTTCATTTCACTTTCGGCAAACTTTGCTTGTATTTGAACAAACTTTACCTAGGGGAATTTTTCAGTCTGCTTCAAATTGTCAGTACAGTGAAAAACATTGCTGATTAAAAGTTGTGCTTTTATTTGTGACTGTACATTGAAGGGCGCTGTCTGTTGGCGTGCCGTCAAATTTGGCGCAGGTTGAATCGAATGTCAACTGTGATGCATTTTTGACATTTCAGGGCTTCTTGTTTGAACAACTACAGATTTTTTCGAATTGAATTCATTAGATCAATGTATATGCTAGATTACATTGGTGATCAGAAGTTAATCAAATACTTTCTGTGCGTCAAACGGCCATGTCCTAGTGTGGGCGCTGAAATTTCCTAAGTTTTGCAGCGAGAGAGTCTAACTACTGACGCAGAAGTCTTTTGCATAGGGAATCTGATAATATCGCGATATTCACTAAAAAATGTAATATCGGAATTATCGGTATCGGTTTTTATAACCAATGTTTGTTCTGTAGGCTTCAGCATTTCCGGAGCCTGCAGATGAACGCAGCATGGGACGTTTACCGGCCGCGCGCTTACATAACGTATAACAACAACAACTACACTAGACTGTTGGTTGCTAACTGTGGCTAACAAGCAAAACTTTAAAGGCTGGAATGATTTTGAGAATTATGAAGCATTAACACCAAAATAAGTGCTAATGTACCTTAAATATTTGCCCTGCTATGAGCTTGTTCTTAACCAAACTAAGCAATTGGCTTAGAAAATTTAGCATCTAACACTCCTTCAGGTGCATAATACAATTAACACATTACCAAAGTTACGCTAGCTCCTTTCAGTATTAAAACATGAAAGTTGAAAGTTGTTTCTCTTATTTTGCACAGGACAGTGTCTAGCATTTTGGAAAGCCCATGTTGCATTTATGTATGCCATCCAGGAGGGGGGGCCATTGTCCGGTTTTAGGCCGAGACAGTCCGGCTTTTTAAATGGCCCTGTTCCGGGCTGCAGGCGCATGTGTATTCATTGTCCTCCTTTTGAGAGAAATAACTAAAGAGGTCCGCCTTTTGACACAATTACCTCATTAGATTTAATACTTATTGGCTAAAAATGTGTGTAAAAATAAGTAATTTCATTGGTTACATTTTTCGTGTTGTGACCTATAAAACATGGCTAATTTTAATATTCAAATGGCCATGTGTTGATTCACCACTGATCAACAGCAGTTGTTACAACAGGGTGTTCAATTCAACTCTCAGCCAGAGACTAAGTGGAGGTAACCGTCGTTGTTGGAGCTGAAATTCTAAATGCTGCAATATTCATATGTATAGACAAAGCCTGAACATCTGAAACAGAAGGCTGGGCTGTATTTTTTTTACCTTTATTATTCGCAGATAAACCACTTAGTTATTAGTATTAGTTTCTGTATGATGTTTATTAGACCTATGTAATCTGAATTGGGAAGGGCAGTTGTCATGAGCTGTATTTGCGTATATTTTAGTTATTTAGCTATGTGGTATGTGTATGCACCTTTTTATGTAATTCTGGTGGGAAAAGCATTAAGCATTTAAAACCGAATAATACCCAAACCAAATATCTGCTTGCGTGCTCCCTGCTGTATGTAAAGTTCCTCCTTTTTGATGTTGAAGGAAATTGGCCACCTAACCAGTGGGGCATCACAATAAACATGTACGATGATGCTGTTAATCTCCACCAGATAGGAGAGTACTATGTTGTTACCTAACAGTTTTGGTGTAAAAAGCCTGCATATATCGGTATCGGGTGATATCGGTATCGGAAATTGAGAGTTGGACAATATCGGAATATTGGATATCAGCAGAAAAGCCAATATCGAGCATCCCTACTTTTGCACAGTGTCTGAAATGCATGGCGACGTAGAGCGGTCTCCCTCGGCCTCCGGCAATGAGGGTTTGGGCATGGGGTGACGTGGCGTGGTGCGGCTGCGGCGGGCAACCACAGTGCAGGCCCCGACGTGGGGAGATGGCGAGGTCCCGCCCAACGCTGCTTGCAGCTTTAATTATTTTCTTATTTTTGCATTAATTGATTAATTGTTTAGGCTACAAAGTATCAAACAATTTCCATGGTAATGTCTTCAGATTTATTCATTAACGCTGCAGTAGGTAAGTTTTATAAAGAAACACTTTTTGTCATATTTGCTGAAATTTGACAGTAGTACACGAGATAGATAATCTGTAAAAAAAAATCTGGTTCCTCTGGTTCGTCCTAGTGCTCCTAATGGCATTTATAAGAATCCACCGGGCCTGAACAAAAACAACCAATCAGAGACACGCAACATATAAAGACACTTTGGGTTGGAGGCTTGAAGATAGTTGATTGTTGAGTCTCATTCTCAGGGTCCCAAAGCGTCCGAGTTTGATGCCCTTTTCACAGATTATCTGTCTCATGCTCTACTGTCAGGATATAGTGAAAGTTTCAGCAAATGTGACAAAAAAATCAAAAAATGGCCAGTTCAAGTATATTTAATATATTCAATTTATAATTGTATAATTAACATAGAACAGCAGAAAATCCTCACAACTGAGAAGATGCAACCCATAAATGTTAGGCATTTTTGCTTGATAAACAAACCAGCGTTTCACAACCTTTTAGGCTCCTGACAGCTCATCAAAGGTTATAGCTTCACTGAGAGCATTAGTTGTGAGCAGTCCAACATATCCTAACCCTAAATACTGTACAGTAAACACACTGAAATGAAGTTGAAACAAAAGTTAAAGGGCGCCCCTGTGGCTAAGGGGTTAACCATGGGGTGACCATGAATCAACTGTTGACCTGGGGCTCGTTTCCTGTCAGCTCTCTACTGTAATAAAGGTATAAAAATGCCTGAAAAAATATTTGAGTAATTGTAAAAATTCAACAGCTTATTTGTTGAGATTCAACAACAACCGGTTTCTGATATTACACCACTGTGGTTAAGATTTGGCACAAAAAACATCCTGGTTAGGGCATGTTTGTAAATTGTCACATAATATCTGTGAAACAACCACAGACAAAAGGAAACACTTGAAATGTTACAACTATCTGTAGGCGGACTGTCAAAATAAAGTGTTTTGCTCTGAGGATTTAATGCTGAAAGTACCACAACAAGCTCTATCTGTTTCAGTGATGATAACTCCAAAACTCGATGCTTACTGAGTTCCAAAGATGCCACATAGATATATGGGCTTCTAAATAACCTTAAACATCCGACCACTAATTTGACCTGGGTTTGTTTGGCTCAGCTCCACTTTACTGCTCATGTTTGATGTCTGATAAGGCTTTTACCCTGCTTCCTGGGAGCTGCGGCTCCTGGTTTTGGGTGTTGACAAGCGGACAATGTGCTCGTACTGGGACGTTCTGGAGGAAGGACTCTGGGTCTTCCTGAAGGAGCTCGTCTCCTCCTCCTTCCTGCAGGAAAATGGAAGCTATTACTGCATCCATTATATGTTGTGCTGTGTGTCTGGGACAAAAGAATGTCTTGAGCCAGGGGGAAGGAGGAGGAGAAGGGGGTGCAGAACAATGGAGAAGTGTCAGAGCGTGGCTGATGACGGAGGTACGAGTGGAAAATCATCTGCACCCACAAAAACTTTTCAATTTGGTGAACACTTAGTCGAGACAGTGGGACAACACATACATAGCCAAGGTCTAATGCTCCCTGCTGACAATCTGACTTATTGTTTTGCTCTTAAAGCAAATAGTCAAACAGATAATTGTTTAAGGAATGTAACGTCTCAGTCTGGTGATATTCTATATTTTAAGATTTTAAGACCAAAATCATTAATGAATTGATTAATTGTCTCCGGTTTGTTTTGACTCCATCCGACTGAAGATAGCAACATAAAAAATTCATATATTGAATATTTGAGGCCCATTTTTTCAGCTTTGTATATTCAGTAGGAACCAATAGACTGGGATGGGCTGGGCCACAGACAGACAGTGAAATTATGTATATCACATAAAAGTAGCAAAATCTCCCATTTGAAAAGCTGGAACAAGCGAATCAATGACTTTAAAGGTTAATCAACTAACACAACTCATTATTTTCTGTCCACTGATGTATTGATTAATTGTTTCAGCACTAAACGTCGATTGAAGGAAATCAATCTGAAAATATTTTAATAATTTATTAATTGTAAAAGACAATTTTTCAAGCAGAATTTCCAAACATTCACTGGAATTTTTTCTGCTTTTTTATATTTTATATCGCTGAAAATGGAGTATCTGTGGGTTTTGCACCATTGCTCAGACACAACAAACAATCTATAGAATGAGGCTTTAAGAAACGAGGGAACTTAAATTACATTTTAGAACAAATTAATCAGGAAAATAATATCAATAATGAAAATGATGAAGAGTTGCAGCCTTATACTGAATGAAAGCACCAGCTGCCATACTCTACATTAGCCACACTATTAATACTGAGGTATTACACCAGTGATATTGTGGTAAATAACTAGTGGAGCTGGACCAGGACCAGATTGTCTGCCAGATAATCAGATTAGAAATGAACAGAATGGACTAGACTTCTTGACTACAGAGTGATGCGATTAGATGTGGAACAGAAATGTAATTATCAGGCTTCAGAATACATTCATCACAATCTAAATTCCGCATTCAAACAATCAGTGCAAAACAATATTATACATATTATTAATGTGCATCTCCATCACTGAGGCCGATATATTGCCGATATATTGTCAACGATCCCAGACATTAGAGATAAATATGGAGCAACTACTGAAGCGATTTATTGCAATGCAGTGCGATTCAACACGATTTGATTCAACATGATAAGATGTGATGCAAAAGAATATGATGGTGGGCACAGAAAACACGGTTTGTTTTCCTTTCAGTGGTTCATAAGCAGCTTGTGCAACAATTTAGAGGAGGAATCAGTCACATTTATGAATAATAAAGGCTTAGGCTAAATCAGATTTTACCAATGCAAAGTGAATCAGTGAATCCCAAGTTCATCCCAATTTGCATCGGGCGCACGTTTTTAAATTGGTGCAATTGCATCTTCAACTTTAATGCCAGTACACCAGTGCAAACTGGTGAACCTTACCATCCCTGATACATACTGTATTACAATATTACAAATTATTACATTACATTATATTATTACAACTGTATTTTCTACATTATTTGTCTCTCTGACATTTTATATCGACTTTTCGTTTTCAGCCTTGCAAAACTGTATTTATTGTTGTTCATTTCTGTTTTTATGTGTTGTTTCAGTTTGTTATGTAAAGCACTTTCAGTATGAAAGATGCTATATAAATAAAGTTGAGTCCATCCAGCATCCTAAATCAACAGAATCTTCTCACCTCTCTTCCACACAGTCCCTGGTGAACATCGAGCTTCGAACCAAACCAGCAGGTGATTGCTGTCATCTTCAATTACAGTAAATTAGTATTATTTGTTCTGGGAGCTGCACTTCCTGTGCGGGCTTCTTATTGAATTACACTGCATGTTAGTGAGCTTTTAATCTGACAGCTGAGGCGGAGGAACAACAAACAGTATCAAAATAAAAGCCTATGGAGCTGTAACTACCATCACAGGCTCTCTGCACTAATTGAGCCTGACAGCTCTCAGGGGTGGTCACCTCTGACTGGGATGCAGCTGGCATCAGTCCTGAACATCACTTTGTAGTTTGCATTTCCTGAATCCACTCTGTGCCAAAGAGCATCAAGTCTTTACCCTTCAGCTTTGCAAACATTTTCTCAAATATGTCGATGCAGCACAACATAAAAAGCTTGTGTACTGTCCAGTCCCCCGGGGCATGAACACAAACAGCCCTCCCCGCCTCATGCCTTTTTGATAGAGTCATCAATAACGTTCAGGGTGGCGAAAGGCTACAGTTACCTCCGGTGGTCCTCTCTTGCTGAGAAGTCTCTTTTGTGCCTGGCTAGGTATTGGATTCTTGCACTTGGAATGGCTCCGAGCGCTGAAGCGGAGACGGGCCATATTGGCTCCTGGTTGCCCCAGCTCAGCTTCTCACTGATCAATGCAAAGGAAAAAAGTTTCCAATAAGAAGCAGCGATGATGAAAATGTTGGTGCAGGAGCAGAATGAATATTTTTTAAGTGGGCTATCACCAAATGAAAGAATCATACTTCCAATCATCTTCCCATTGTTTTACCCTTTACACCACACGTTCAAAGCGTGCCAGACATCTGTCTTTAATTATGTAGTTTAGAGAAATTGCACTCAAGGAAGGAAACACTGACCACAGAGGCTCCTGAATTCCTGGAGTCAATTTCACACTAGATCAATGACCAAACATGCAATTTCATATGATGTAACAGCTGGAACAGAATTTATCCTGCAATGCTGGACTGTACAAACAGAACATGTAATGAACAGAGGCCACTTTGATACCTCTTGTGGTATCAAAAAAAGTTAAGTTTGTTTTATATGTGTAATAAAGAATCAGATTTTAATCAAGAGTAAAAACTCAGTATGACTCAACTACTCACCAAGGAGTTGTGGCCCAAACTGTTTTTGAGGTTTTGTGCTGCGCAAGATCCAAGATTCTGCCAAAAAACATTCATAAAAAACCCACAAATCAGCATTAAATATGAGTGTAATTCAGAGACTTTGGGCCCAGGGGGAACATGCAATCGCGCGGTGGGTCTCTGGTGAGGGCTTTCTTCTTTCTGGCACATCTGTGACATCCAAAAAGTTGGCTTCAAATTCTAAACCTCAACCTCTAAACTGTCAAAGTTCATCTGTGAGTCAGACATTTTCATAAAAGAGGTTTTTTCATTTCGCAAGACTGATGAAATTGTAGATTTTTGGCTTAGGCTTCTTCTTTATTCCACTGTGACCCCTCATTGAGGGATATAGACATAGTGACACATGGAAAATACAGGTAACACTTCACTTTAACAACCCCCATTTATCATTTATATATAAACGTATAATAAATAGTTTATAACACATTACTACATACACAATGTTACAAGTAGGTAAAGAGCATTTCAATTCTATAAGGCAGTATTTTCAATATTATAATTTTCCTAATGAAGATATATTTTATATAATTCAACTGTGCTTCAACACTACTGTGTTGTTCATCATGTTTATACACCATATAAACTATATCACATACATAAAGGACCAGTGTGTAGAATTTAGTGCCATCCAGTGGTGAAGTTGCAGAATGCAAAGTAACGTTCACCTTTTAAGTGTGTAGGAGAAACTAAGATGGCTGTGAAACTTGCAAAAAGCGCTTAAGGCCCTATCTAGAGCCAATGTTTGGTTTGTCCATTCTGGGCTACTGTAGAAACATGGTGGTTCAACATTGTGGACT